AAACCCTCATCATGCCTGAAAAACAGGTGCTGGGTTTACTATGTACTAGAGAGTTAAAGTCCAGGTAATTAATGTTTTCTACACTGATCGCAATGCCTGTTACCACCCCGGATAGAGGCTACAGAGTGATTGTCCCTGAGTTAATAGCTGACTGGTTCTCCTCAGGTTCTGAGGAGCTACTAGAAACCTGACTGAAGAGTGAGACATTGTGATCTTTTTAGGTTCTGGAGAAATCCAGATGACATACATGTAACCCTTCTTCCAGGTGTAGCCGGCAGCAACCAGAGCCGGGTTCAATAACTAGGGTTTCCTTTACAATAATACCACAAAGAAGAGGGCTGAGCCCTCACTCAGTAACCAGGGAAAATTACACACCCATCCTGGGGACGTCTGAGAGGCAATACGTCACTCTTGCAAGCACAGGGTCTGAGTGTAGAAAAGAAACTGTTAATAAAAGGGAAGAAGTCTCCTGACATTAATTAGGGAAAATGCCACAAGCAGGATTCATAATCCTAAAACTGTGAGCAGGACACCCACCCCTTAGTGCCTGGGGCAGTGTCTTTTGCCTTGTGCCCTTGAGTTCTACAACCCACAGTTCCTTTACTGTGCCCCTCTGTGCTCCTTCACCACACCCACTCACAGTGGTTCTCCTTGGTCAGTGAGGCCCCAGGGTTCAGAGGTGCAGCTGTGCGAGTTCACCTCCCACCCGGGGAAGAAGGCACCTTGCTTTCTCCCACTCCGCCAGCCATGGCTCCTCTCTCCTGGCTGCCCCACCAACCACTTGCTCTACTCTGGCTGGTTGACTGTCAGTTACCTTCTGCTGCCACCTGCCACTCTGCTGTGACCTCTGCAGGTCTGTCGCTTAGTGATTGACAGCTCTTCATGACTGTCAACTTTAGAAGGCTGGACAGAAATGCTTTTCCACCGCCAGTGATTTCAGCTCTCATTTAAGCACTTACAATAAAAAAGCCTCCTAATGGAGTCTGTTCAGCTCTATCTTTGAACGGTGGGGGGGAACAGATTAAACCATACCAGGGACCTTAAAGAGAGCCCACAACTTCTGCCTGGGATACCTGCCCCCCACCCCTCTTACTTTTACAGGGCTCTGGCATTCAAACCCCTGGCTTAAAGAGATACATTCAGCTGAAGGTGACCACCTTTTTTGGGACTCGTTAAGCATACTTTTGCTCCCTTTTATTCATACAATACAGACAACAACATTAATAACAGTATTTCACTGCCCCTGCATTCAGTACTAAGGGATCTGTGCATCAGCCAAAGTTGAACACTTTGAGTAACATCTCTCTATCTGCTGGATATCTAGGGACAGTAGGTGTGTTCATGTAAATAGAGTTTGCTCCTCAAGTCTCTCTCCCTTTCAGGTAGCTGTGAGGGGATAGTTAGCTGTGAGGGGATAGTTCATTCAGACCCTGTTTACATATGCTACTTTTTAAGTCCCACTTTGACCTGAGAAATCTTCTCTGAAAGAAGATTTGTTATATTGAAACTTTTAATTGTAATACAAATATTACAAACCGAACTTTCATGAGATGTATGTATATTGAAAGCCAGCAGCAGAGTTGTTGGAATCTCTACAGGAAGGAGCAGTGGTCACTTTACTACTTAATGACTTAAGCTTTAGAAAGTATTTCAGAAGTACTCCACAAACTGTTTGCAATGCATTTGTGCTATTAGCTCTTTCTTCAGTGAACAGTTGTATGCAGTGGTGAGCTGGAGCCGGTTTGCACCGGTTCGCTAGAACCGGTTGTTAAATTTAGAAGCCCTTTTAGAACCGGTTGTTCCGTGAGGGACAACCGGTTCTAAAAGGGCTTCTAAATTTAACCGGCCCAAAGTGGCACCTTAGGTGCCGACTCCATGGGTGCTCCAGCCCTGGAGCACCGAAGGAGAAAATTTGGTGGGTGCAGAGCACCCACCGGCAGCTCCCCACCCCACCCCCAGCCCAGCTCACCTCCGCTCTGCCTCCACCTCCTCCCCTGAATACGCTGCCCCGCTCCGCTTTTCCGCCCCCTCCAAGCTTCCCGCAAATCAGCTGTTCACACGGGAAGCTGGGGAGGGTGGAGAAGCAGGTGGCAGCTTCCCGCTCAGGCCCAGGGAGGTGGAGGTGAGCTGGGGTGGGGGTGGGGGCCTGAGGAGGGCCGCCCATGCTGCGGCAGGTAACCGGGGGGGGGGCGCAGGTGCAGGGGAACTGATCCCCACCCCAGCTCACCTCCACCACCCTCGGCCTGAGCGGGAAGCCACCACCTGCTTCTCAGCCCTCCCAGGCTTCCTGCTGAACAACTGATTCATGGGAAGCCAGGGTGGGGGCGCGGAGAAGCAGACCGGGGCATCACATTCAGGGGCAGAGGTGGAGCGGAGGTGAGCTAGGGCCGGGTGCAGGGCGGGGAGCTGCCAGTGGGTGCTCTGCACCCACCAAATTTTCCCTGTGGGTGCTCCAACCCTGAAGCACCCACAGGGTCGGCGCCTAAGGAGCCACTTTTGATGTGGTCAGTAGGGGGGAGCGGCCGCTCCCCCTGCTCCTCCCCTAGCTACACTCCCCCACCCCTAGAAGCCAAAGGGAGCTGCCGGATGCTTCCCAGGTAAGCACCCCTGGGATTCCCCACCTCGCCCCCCGGCAGGTCCCTCTGGCTCTTAGGGGTGGGGTGGGCACCAACTACGGTGGCCCATGAAACCCTCCTGCCCGGTTCTGGGGGCAGTCAGGGGACGGGGAGGGGGTTGGATGGGGCAGGAGTCCCAGGGAGCGGGGGTGGGCAACGACCCCCTCATGGGGTGAGGAGGGAACCAGTTGTAAAGATTTTGGCAGTTCATCATTGGTTGTATGATACTATCCCCAGAAGCTGTTTCTACATTCAGGGTCATGAACACAATCCCTCTGCAATACCTGCGCAAGACATTCCAAAAAGTCTTGAGAGACCAGAACAGCTAGTCTGTGTTTCAGCAAAGAGTAGATCTGAGGAGCAGAAAAGAGTAATATTGGTTGTATATAATTTAATCCCATCACCTCTTACACAAGAATGGCTGAAGTAACTTGCACATTCAGTTAGATATTAGTGCAAATCTAGTGTTTACGCTATTCTCTCATTCGTGACACCAACCCCTCCCCTGCCTAGCTGAAGTAACTGTCTATGTTAGCTTGTAACTTGCCAGATATCTACAGACCATTGCATGGGGAGAGCATTTAGGTCCTGTGAGAATGAAAAGGAGCCTCTGGATTATAAAACTCTGGATACAGTTTACGCTGGGCAGGCAAAACACTTCAGTTTCTCTTGAAGGGATTCTTGGGGGTCAGAGTGTATCACTGGGAGCATTTGATAAGGGAAAGTTAATAGAGCCTGGTTCTGATTGAATTTACAAATGTAAATCTGAAGTGATGCTGTTGAAGTCACTGTTATTGAATTAAGCACCCGGCCCTAAGAATTTATCCCAAAAAACTGCAAAGGGGCAGTGGCATAATTTAAACTCTCAGGAGAGGAGAACATTATATATATATATATATATATATATATATATATATATATATAATGAGGCAATGAAGCACATTTATAAATAGCTTGAATGTAGGGCACATAAATACCGTTTTCACCATGCACTTGCCATGTGTTTACCTACATGTCATGATACAAAGGACCACACTCAGAAGTGGAGGGCCAGAAAGGGTGTCTGTATGAGGGTCACAATTGTAAAATCACACAGTGCTCAGATAGGCTGTGGAACTCACAGTCAAAAGATATCACAGAGGCCAAGAGCTTAGAGGATTCAAAGAGTGACGGGATGTTTATATGGGTAACTAGAAAATCGAATTATAGTAGTGAGGCTTTTTAAAATAATGTCTTGTAAGGGCTCTAAACCTTCCTGATTTATATCACAAAATATGTCTAACTAGTGGGTGTCAGAGGAAAATTTTCCTTTGGAGAAAGTTATCTCAGAGCTGCCTATTGCCGGGCTTCTTTCACCTTCCACTGAAACATCTGTAACTGGCCACTGGGTGTCATAAATATAAAGGAAAGGCTAACCACCTTTAAACTCCTCCTGGCCAGAGGAAAAACCCTTTCACCTGTAAAGGGTTAAGAAGCTAAAATAACCTCGCTGGCACCTGACCAAAAGGACAATGAGGAGACAAGATACTTTCAAAGCTGGAGTGGGGGGGAAACAAAGGGCTCTCGCTGTCTGTTGCTTTTGCTGGGACCAGAGCAGGAATGCAGGTCAGAACTCCTGTAACGGGTTAAAAAGCAATCTAGTTAGATATGCGTTAGATTCTGTTTTGTTTAAATGGCTGATAAAATAAGCTCTGCTGGATGGAATGTATTTTCCTGTTTTTGTATATTTTTTGTAACTTAAGGTTTTGCCTAGAGGGATTCTCTATGTTTTGAATCTGATTACCCTGTAAGGTATTTACCATCCTGATTTTACAGAGGTGATTCTTTTACTTTTTCTTCAATTAAAATTCTTCCTTTAAGAACCTGATTGCTTTTTCAGTGTTCTTAAGATCCAAGGGTTTGGGTCTGTGTTCACCCATGCAAATTGGTGAGGATTTATATCAAGCCTTCCACAGGAAAGGGGGTGTAGGGCTTGGGAGGATTTTTGGGGGAAAGACTTTTCCAAGTGGGCTCTTTCCCAGTTATAGTTGTTAGATGCTTGGAGGTGGCAGCAATAAAGTCCAAGGGCAAAAGGTAAAATAGACTGTACCTTGGGGAAGTTTTAACCTAAGCTGGTAAAAATAAGCTTAGGGGGTCTTTCATGCAGGTCCCCACATCTATACCCTAGAGTTCAGAGTGGGGAAGGAACCTTTACACTGGGCGATATGGACCACAGGTCTGATCCAGTCTGGCAGTGCCTGTCTTCCTATTGGTAGTGTAAACCCAAGGCTATGTTTTTGCTGATCTTCCTTGAACTCCTGGGAGTCTCTAGACTTGCACTCAGAGCAGAAAAATGTGTAATTAAATATCAATTAGTCTGCTGTTCTTTTTCCTTTTAGGAAGGAAAGTTCAGAACTCCTGGGAACTGCATAGTACATTATGTCAGCTGTCAATGACACGAAATTGAATGCTGCAGTGTTCCTTCTGACCGGACTACCTGGACAGAAAGACATACATCTCTGGATCTCTATCCCCTTCTGCTTAGTGTATGTTATTTCAATAGTAGGAAATTCAGTCATTCTGTTCATTATAAAAACAGATCCAAGCCTCCATGAGCCCATGTACATTTTCCTTTCCATGTTGGCTGTCACAGACCTTGGCTTATCGATAACCACCATACCGACGATACTGGGTATATACTTGTTTAACTCTAGAGAGATCAGCCTTGATGCCTGTTTTGCCCAGCTGTTCTTCATCCACTCTCTGTCATTCATTGAATCCTCCATTCTCTTGTTGATGGCCTTTGACCGCTTTGTTGCGATCTCTAACCCACTGAGATATGCTTCCGTCTTAACTCTTCCGAGAATAGCCAAGATGGGACTGTTGTTTGTGTTAAGAGGGTTTGTCCTAACATTCCCACTCCCCTTTCTCTTGAAGCGGTTCCAATACTGTCAAGCCAATATCCTCTCCCATTCCTACTGCCTGCACCAGGAGGTCATGAATCTGGCTTGTTCAGATATCACAGTCAACAGCATCTATGGCTTGTTTATTACACTCTTAATGGTGGGGTTGGACTCGCTGCTCATCTTCCTCTCTTATGTGATGATCCTCAAAACAGTGCTGAAAGTTGCGTCCCCCACAGAGTGCCTCAGGGCCCTGAACACCTGTGTGTCCCACCTCTGTGCTGTTGTGCTCTTTTACACACCAGAGATCGGCTTATCTGTGTTACACAGATTTGGAAAGGCGTCTCCTCCATTACTTCAGATTCTCCTGGGCTATGTCTATCTGCTGGTCCCACCTCTGATGAATCCAATTGTGTATAGTGTGAAAAGCAAACACCTTCGCGAGCAGATAATCAAGATGTTTGTCAAGTGATGGGTCAGTTCATCACCTGGTTCCATCATTGGTTACATGGGAGATGAAAACCAGGGGCCACCTATTCCATCCTGGACGCTTACATCCGAGATGACATAAGCTATTGATCTCTACTCTGTAGAGAGAGGCTCAAGCGGGATCTAAGGCCTGGAATAATGGAATAGGGGCTGTTCCTGCTTCTTGGTGAGGGAGGCTAGTGCACTTGGGGAAGGGTGGCCAAGGCGGGCAGCAGCAATTACAAAAGGACTATGTTCCTGGAGAGCCAGGGGAATGGTGGAGTGTTGGCCCATAAAGAGCTGTATTGGCAGCTGCTCCAACCTCAGAATTCCTCTCAATACAGTCAATAAAGAGACGGGATGTGGCTGTTGTTTTGCATTTTAACTGGCCCATCACTGGCCCGTCTCTGGTTAAACATCCAGGGGTCACAAAATAAAAGTGCCGAGCTGTTTTTTCAGTTTCAGTCCTGCCCCTTCCTGAGCGTTCTGGGTGCTGAGTGATCCATGGGTGCTGCACCAGCTGTGGCCAGGAGCTATTCAAGGGGTAGGGACACCCACCCTTCCCCTACCCCCATAGCCAAGTCCTAATGACTGAGTCATGTCAGAGACATGACTAACGCCAGCACCCCAGGAGAAGCCATTCACATAGCCCCCCACCCAACCCTGTTGGTGGCTCTGCACACAACACATCTGCTGAACCCACTACTCATGTAGGCAGGGCAGAGCACGTGAGTGAGGGTCTGACACACAGGAGTCCTGGCAAGAGAGTCAGGACCAAATTCCCTCCTACTCTTCCCCTTCTTTTGCCCTGCTGCAGGGTGGAAACGATCCTCAACTTCGCCACCGAGGCACAGTGAGTTCCTATCCCAGATCAGCCCATTCGGTGCAGGGTGACCACCTCTTCAAAAAGCAAAAGCAGGAGCCACATACTGCATTGACCCTGCTCCTGCTCCTCTTCTTCCCCTGAGGCACTTCCCTCTGACCAATCCCTTCCTCCAAACCACACCTTCTGCTCCTCCTCTTTACCTGAGGCTCTTCCCCCTCTCCAGGCCAAGACCAGAGACCAGCTGCCCTAAGAGCTGCCCAGGATCCAGAGCCACTGTGAGGAGCCCCAGACCCTCCTCTTGCCCTGGGCTAGTGACTGGGGGGCCCGAGAGCAGCCCCTAGCCTGTGACTCCGCCCTCACCCCCACCCCAGATGCACACCCTTAGGGAAGTTGTAGAGTTTGAGGCTCCCAACAGAGGCCTGCGCTCCCAGGGCAGCTCTTACCACAGCCCAGCTCTGGCCTGGCCAGGGGGAAAAACCTCAGGGGTAGTGGAGGAGCAGGGGGAAGTGCCAGGTAGGAAGTGATGGGGGCAAGGTATCAGGGGAAGAGAATGGGCAGCGGGTGCAGCAAGTGAATCAATGCTAACCTCAGCCAGCAGGGCGGTGGGTAGCTCTTGAGTAAAGGAGGAAGGTGGGGCTGAGGGTTAGGAGACCTTTGTGTTTTGGAAAAGACTGAATAAATGCGACCCCACAAAGGGGGCTCTTGTTTTAAGTGTCCTATGCTGAGACTCAGTTATTGCAAGGACCTTAGAGGGAAGCACAGGGCACCTACACGGCTACGTCAGATCACAAGGAGTCAATCTGGGGTGGCCCCTGTTTGCAGGGACTTGGACAGAGTGGAATGTGCTCTTGGAAGCCATTACCACTGGGCGGAGTTCCACCCAACCCTCAGGCTGCTCTAAACTTTGCTGAGGCAGTGGGAGAACAGGCCAGTGAATCAAACCGCTGTAACTGGCTCCTTGCCCTCCCTGCTCTCTGAGTCCAGCCGGACCTGTCACCGCTCAGATGGCTGGAACGCTGCCTGTGGTCTGTGCATTGCTCTGTGACTCAACAGAGCTGGGTTTGATTCCCTTCCCCAGGAGACCGTGGGTTATTGGCTATCTCTGAGCCTCTATATTGAATCTATTTCCCCATGTCAAGTATCCTCACACCTTCTTGTCAACTGTCTAAATGAGCCATCTTGATTATCACTACAAAAGTTTTTTTTTTCTCCTGCTGATAATAGCTCATCTTAATTAATTAGCCTCTTACAGTTTGTATGGCAGCTTCACCTTCTCTGTATGTGTATATATCTTCTTACTATATGTTCCATTCTATGCATCTGATGAAGTGGGTTCTAGCCCACAAAAGCTTATGCTCTAATAAATTTGTTAGTTTCTAAGGTGCCACAAGTCCTCCTGTTCTTTTTGCACAGGTGGGTAATAACCCTGCCCTTCCTTACAGCGTTGGTGAGAAGATATATACATTCAGTGTGCTAAGATTCTCTCACAAGGGAGCCGCGTGAGACCCTAAGATCTGGGTGTTGCACTACGTCCCATATTTTTCATAGAAATATTGTTATGAGATGGTTATAGCATACCTAGGATGTATTTTATGCAAGATGAATTATGTAAGCTATCATTGGAAAGGTTATGATTTACTGGATACGATTATCCTATTTGTATGCACGTATCATTCCTGTCTCTGAAGTCAGGAATATTGACTATGTAACAATTACAGCTGTGTTTACACCTGGAGAACACCCACCACATATTAAGCAATCAGCCTGATGGGTCATTAGGGAGAATAATAGGAGTTTGAAGATGCTAATATCCCACCTTCCTGAGAAGCTTCCTGGGATGCTGTTCTGGCACTGCAGCCTCATGTGATCATATCACCTGGTACTGGACCCCATCTTGGCCTGCTAGTATTTTTCCAAAAATAAGGGGTGAGGATCAAACTGGGAAACAAAAGATTCCTGCTCTGCATAAATCTTATGTAAGGCATAAAATTGAGTTAATCAGGGTCGGTTCTTCACAGAATCCCCACCCAGGATGACTGCTTAAAACACCTAAGACTGATCTGGGGAAGAAAGGACTGGACCCAGGCTAGAAGGTGTCTGGCCTGTGAAAGAAATACCTGGAGTTCTATGCTGCAAGCAAGAAACTCTGCAACCTGCTTAAAATAAAAAGTAGGGATAGAAATGACTACTTGCTACTTGTCACCCGTTTCTTTAGTGCATTAAACTTAGTTTGGGTGTTTGTTTTATTTGCTCAGTAATCCAATTTGATCTGATTGCTGTACCTTATAATCACTTAAATCTTTCTTTCTGGGGTTAATAAACTTGTTTTTGTTTATTCTAAAACCCAGGTTGTGGAATTCATAATGGACAAGGGGAGCTGTGCGTATATTCCTCCACATTCAGGGAGGGGGTGCTGTACAGTTCTCTGTGCAGCGCAGGAAAATACAATTTTGGGTTACACTCCTGATGGGGTGTGTATTTGAGTGCTGGGCAATTCCTGAGCTGAGTCTTCCTATGCAGAGCTGATTTCAGTGTCTGTGGCTTTCTGCAGCTGGATGTGTCCCTACCCATGTCAGTGTGTGCTGGAGGAGGCTTGAGGGCCTGGCTCAGCAGGACAGTGTAAGAGAGCCCAGGCGGGCTCAGTGATACCCCAGTACATCAGGTGGCACCCTAGAGGAGGGAGAAGTCTGTCACACAGGGCTATCTCAGGGTTCCAACGAGCAACACCTCCGACATTTGTCTACAAGAGGCTTCTTATCCTGAAACACAGACACAGCTGAGCACTATGGTGCCTGGGCCCAGGCTCACAGAAGTTTCAGCGAAGGCTCTTTCCACAAGAAAGGGGCAAACAGATGGGAAGAGGCTCCCAGAGACACAGGGAAACTAGGCAGGGTCCCAAGAGCTCCTTTGCTTCCCAAAAGAATGTAAGTTGGTCCAGTTCTGTTCCTCTATCTCCAGAGCAAAGCCTGTCGAACTTAGCTTGCAGTGGTATGTGAGATGGGTGAGTGTAGACGTGTGACAGCTGCTTGTTATTTTAAAACTATTTTCTCTAATGCTTTGTTCTGTTTACTAATAAACCTATCTGTTTTAAGGAGGCTGATTGCTCTGGTCATAAGCATCCAAAGGGAAGCGACTGAGGTCCCATCAGACCTGCTTGGTGATAAGCATTAGCATAGATGGGATGTTGTTCCTAGCTCCAAGAGTGGGACAATTGTGAGATTCCCCCCAAGACAAGATAGGGCCTGGTTTAGGGGATAAAGAAACCATATATTCCAGTGTCAAGGCTGATTCCCCACTCTGGCACTTCAAGTGCAGAAAGCAGGGACCCGCGAGGACTTTAAAAAATGAATACTTGCCACTTCTATATTTGTATTAAACTCCCAAGGTTACAGATGCCCCTGGCCTTGGTTAGTCGTGCTGCCACCACCCAAGTGCAGAACCCCTTGGAGAGCCAGGAAGGTGCATTTGGGAATTCTTTCCTCTGGGGTACCCTCAAGCCCTTTCATCCCTCATCTAGGGAAAAGCAGAGAAAAGGGAAAAGAAAAAGAAACCAGCTGTTGCTACTAGCTAACTGAAAAACAGGTGCAGAGATCTTTTAAGATACAGAAATCCAATTATGTTCTTAAAAAAGGTAAATTTAATTTAAAAAGATAGAAGGAGAACACATCTGGAAAATCAGGCTGTTGCTAGATATTAAAAGAGCAACTGCAAGGATTAAACACCAAGAGTGGCTTTCTTGGGGTCCAGCTTAAAGGTTACAAAAGAAAACAAAGGTACCTGTGTTAGCACAGAGCAATCCACAAGACCAAAATAAAGAGATAAACCAGATCACATCTAACTAAACATTTCCTTATCTACTTACATATCTGTGGTTCCAAATGAGTAGTTTCTAGTGATGATGCTGATGATTTTTCATACCTGGCCCAAGCCCTACGGCATACCTACTGCTCTCTGTGTCTCTTCAACCGAGAGAACACCACAAAGGGAAGGATTTTTTTCCCCCCAATTTTAAAAGTTTTTAGTCTTCCCATTGGATCTTTTGGCCAGGTGCAAACTCACTTCCTCTTACCTAAGCATTTCAGTGAGACTTCTTAACCCTTTACAGGTAAGGCAAGTAGAGAACAGCTACTAAGAAGGATTTTTATAGCTAACTGACTGGTTAGGTGTCTGTAAAATGT